GGGGCCGTTGTTTTTGGGGTTGGGGTTTTTTCCGGTAGCCGTGTCCCCTCAGGTCTGCGCTGCGGCGTGAAATCCCAGAAATCGGTGTCCTCGCCTCGGTCTAGCCCTGTGGAGGCAGTTTAAAAACATCCCGCGGCCGCCTTGCCACCTACAGATTCCCCAAGATCAACGCCAAATTTATCTGGGTGTGTAGGGCAAACATTTTTAGAATTAGAAAAGCCATAGGTAAGTTAGGAATAGAGGAGCACTGAGGGTGACGTTAATTTGGAAATTACTTGTTAGGTGTTTTTATGCTTATGAATTGAATAGGGGAAGGGTTAAAGCAGAATGAAGACTTGCTTGAATACACAAGTATCAGCTGATGCTATTTTAACAATTTCAACTCCTAGGTTTTGATCTGAGGCAGTTGTTGAACAAAGGAGGAAAGAGGTTTAGACTTTGTGTTAGGTTGCTACACCAAACCATTGCATGGGAGCCGAGAAACATCGTTTTCCCTCCAGCCCTTTTTGAGAAGGACAGGAGATTTCTGGAGAGTGTACGAACACATACATTGACAGAAAGTGGTTTGTGCTGAGGAGTGTTACGTTACATACAGTAATGCGTTTGATAAGGCAACAAATATTTTTCAGGTAATGAGCAATGAACAATAATAAGTAAAAAGTGGTTTGCCACTTCTTTGCCTTCTGGGGAAAAAGGGTATAAGCAGACCAATTATGACCTGTTGCTGTAGTTACAGAAATCAAGGATTGGTATATTTTCAGCTGGTTTTTATGCCCCTGTACACACTGCAGTGGAATAGAAGCCGCTATGATGAATTCATACTACCAGAAGTTACAGTAGGGTTCATGCTTCCTAACCACTTTTCTTAGATTTATGGCAGTTTCAAAACGATAAAGCATTATAAAGCTGTCCTAAAACAGGAGAAAATCTACATAACTAAAAAGACCCATGACATATACCCCATAGGCCCTGTATGAGCGTTAATGGCTCTTCAGTTTGGCTGAAAGGTTATTGCTGAAGTTCCTGAAGGACTCCTGCCTGCCTGCCTGATTGTGTCTGCCTTTTTTGGACACTGACTGAGATGGGAGATGCCAAGAATAAATAGATTCTTAGTTTTCAAGATGGATAGGAATAAGGGTTGCTGGGTCTGCTTTTAAATCTTGAGTTGGACTGCTATTTTAAGACATTAAAACACACAGCCCATGCTCCTTTGGTTTTCCACACCTGTAAGTGCTAAGGACATTTAGTGCCCATCTAGAGAAAATACCTTTTATCACATGGAAATGGTTGCTGCAGCTGTCCAAATAAGTGCTGATTGCCTTAGTTTTTAATAACATTTGTGATTATCGAATCTGAGGTAAGTTTAGAGGCTGTCTTTCACAATGTAAAGTTTTTCTGTATTTTCATCGTCTTGAACAACGTTACTTGCTTTTGGGGCTGTTTTTTATTATATTAGAGCCAGCGCTATGGACCTTGCTCTAAGGAATATTATTTTGTCTATTCATTTTATTTTAAACCTCTCATGCTTATTAGAAAGTTCCAGAAAGTTGTTTTTCTGTTCATTCTCTCCATATAAATATCGCGTCCAAAAATACATTCACAGATAATAGAGGACGTTACTGCATACAAGAATATCCTGACTTTGATCAAACAGGAATACGAGGCGTTTATTGCCAGAATCAAGAATGGCCAAAGGAATGCATTTTTTCTTCATGGTAGATTAAAAGCCTTGGAATCTGAGTCCACAGCTCTGTTATACTATAGGAAAAGAGCAATGGAGCTTGAAAAGAAGTAAGTTCTCTCTAATAATGTTTAGAGCAAAATATGTTGTTTTAATTAGGACATGAATAGTTTAGTTGTAGCTGGTTCTCTCATTTATATTTTTTAAATGTTTCAATTCTTGTTTTATTTTGATATGGAAGCTGCCAGTGATTGTGTAAAACCTTGCCAATGTGGTGGTAGATTTCTGCTCTTCACATCCTGGTGCTGACTCTTGTGCAGTCAAACTTGGGGTGTAATCAGCAAAGGCTTTGCTTGCAGAAAAACTGGAGGATCAGGCTTGGAAGTTAAACACACACAGATTTTCTCCACCTGGAAAAATAGGATGGCCTCAAAGTGAGGCTATTGTATTGCTAAAATGCGCTGTCTGAGGTTGAGAAATACGGAAAAGTGAGTGAATTGCTCACTTTTTCTCATTTACTGTCTTATATTGAGGAAGGATTGTTATGTAGCTGCACGTATGTAGTAGGAGAGCCAGTTATCTTGCCATATGCAGTCTGAAGTGGAATTATATGGCAAACTGGGGGGGGCAGGCTTTACTGACAACTGCAGAACAGCATGACAGCAAGCCTAGGTCAACAAGTTTTGGTACTGATACCCTTGCAACCTGGCACATAAAAAGGACAAGGTAACAGCTCCTGTTTTACTTTTTTGTTTGTTTGTTTGTTTTTCCCTCCAGAATAAAAGCTATTCAGAAGAATTCTGCAAAAATTAAAAACGTAATATTGGAAATTTATAATGTAAGAAAGGTACCCTCAGAAACCTTTGGCACCTCAGGGAAAACAGCACATCCTCTTAAGCCCATCCCAGGTAAATCCAATATTCTGCTGGTTTGACAGTTTCTTCTAGATTAAATATTTTTTAAAAATAATTATATAAAAACAAAACCAAACCAAACAAAAACCCAAAAACTAAGCCACCCAGAATAGTGCAATGTATCAGAAAAATGCAGATCTGTGTGCTGGAATGCAGAACAGCGGTGACACAGTAGAAATAGGGAGGTGTAGACTTGAAGAATAATGTATTCAGAAGGTCTTTGCTGTTGTGGGAAGCTGCCCGTGACGGGAGGTGCAGCCTGCATTACCGTGACCAGCCGGCTTTACTGCCTGCGGCTGGGAGCTCATGAAAGGCATTTTCTTCTCCCACAGGCCTGAGTGTAGAAGAATCACTCAGCTTGGATTCTCTTTCTAAACATCTTGCTCAGTTAGACAGACGGGTGCTGGAATTGAAAAAAGAAAGGGGGGAAAAAAGTACGTCCCTCGGCAGAAAAAGACTATGTTAGAATAAGAACTCCTGCACTTACTGGCCTTACAAGATACTGCTGAAGCAAAGAGAGAAAAGCTGAAGCTCAGGCTCGAGTCCGTATCTGTAAATATTTTTAATTTAGATGTGTTCCTTATGTCACAAAGACTTTCTTTTTTGTCTTATGGATTGAGGTTCCGTATTAACATACATACTGTTGATACTATGATGAAGATTTCTTGATTTGGGTAACTGTGCTGATCACATACGTCTTTCCCTCTAACTATTCACAGATATGCTAAAATTTTGTTAGTTGCAAATACTATTTCTGCCTGGGCAAAATCGGACAAGATTGTCACCCTGCAAGATCCTCCTCTGTCAGATCATGAAAAATAAAAAAGATGAAAGAGGTGAAATCATTAAAAGTGAAATGTCAGAACAATCGAGAGAGAGAGTATGAGACTAGACAATCAGCAATAGCAGACTAAGAGTTTGGTCTTTAAGATGGTATTTTTTATTCCTGTCTGGTAACTTTTGAGGGCACTGCCGCGAAAACTGTCTTCAACTGATGCTGTAAAAGGTGTTTCCTAAACAATCATCTGCTTAAGGAGATTGTTTCAGTTCTATTAAAAAAAAAAAAAGGAAAAAGAAAATATTCTCAGTTTAAAAAAATATATTTTCATATAAATGTATCAGTTGATAAAGTTAATGGTGTTTGTTTTGTTGTTTGTTGTTTTTTTTTATTTTTTAAATGCTTTAACACTTTTAACTCTGGTTTGCTTGTTGAGATAGTAATGTGGTTATCCTACGCTGCCGTGTTTTATATTTCAGCTCTTGATGTACCTAGTAAAATGGCTGAAGATTCACTGGAATATTTTGAAAGGTAAAAAGAATATGGTTATTGTGCTCTGCATTAGCACTTTGCAATATCATAGTTAAAGCATCATACTGCATGCAGTCCTTCCAGGACACATTCTTTTTGTGACCCTTTTGGTGTTTGTAAAAAGTGCTGACGTGGCAGCCGTGCACATTAAGTCAATTGTTTATCCGTTTCAGAGATTCTTCTCTGGCCCTTTTTCTAAAGGGACTGAAATTGAAAAGACCAGCTCTTCCGTGTGTTGTGAAAACTGACAAGCTTGTCTTAAATATAACTTTGTGCATACAGATGAAAATGTACAACTTGAGTTTTTTTCACAAGTGTCCAGATGCCTGAAGGAAATCGGACATTAGATGCTTTTGAAAATCCCAGTAATGCAGCTGTCTACTTCTAGGTGCCTGGATCTCATTGCTAATATAATCCCTTGGTATTAAAAATAAGAATTAGTTCATCAACTGACCTCATATAGCCTGCTGTGTAACTGTTACACAGAAATAACTCTCTCCTGTTTCTGGCCATTGATTAATTAGATTAGTCCTTCCCAAATCACAGCCTTTTACAAGCCATGTATTAAAGTACACTTCATTTCTCTTTCCAGTTGCCCACAGATAACTGGGGGCAACTTACTGATAAGGTTTCTCAAAGTTTTCATTATGGACACTGTCAGAAGCACTAGGTAGTGAGGCAGAAGAGATGTAACTGGCTGTGTGGAAACAAAATTGCTGCTTCATACTGGAAAATGGTGTGATGAAGATATACTAGGTTTAAATATGTATATTTTAAAGCCGTGTATTCTTAGTGTTTGGGCTTCTTGACTAGACTGCTATACCATCAGCCAACCATTTTATGTATGTATATGTGTATTTATCTAGTGTTTGCATAACATATGTTCTGTATTTTTTTTTTCTTGCTCTTTCCTAGTTTCAGTGAATTACTTTCAAGAGATCAGTATGGTGCCGCAGCAACTTATGCAGTAAACTCTCCTAGGGGAATTCTCTGTAATGAAAAAGCTCTGAAGTATCTTAAATGTATGAACTTGATAATTGGGTCCATTCTTACAGGATTTTAGTTGATGTCAGGCTAGTCATTTCGGTGCTTAGGAATTTGGGATTTATCAAACGAGAATTGTTTGTGTGGGTTTGAAGCTTATGTTTAATATTCCAAATTGAAGATAAGAAAAGCTGTAAGGCTTTTCTTTTTCTCCTTTGTTGTATGTTAAGGACATGCCCTAAGCAGCAGAAAGGGAGATAGCCAACTCACAACCACTGCTTTTCTTACTGTTGGTGAGGTGTTGGGTTAAGCAGTGATCTTAAGGTCTAGTATAAAGGTGTTTCTAATGCAGTGCTGAAACTGTTTTATTTCTACTGATAAATTATGTGCAGTAGACAAGAGCAAAGGTCTACCCACTTGTTTGAAAGTCCAGTCCTTACTGTTACATGTCTTAATTACTCAAGCTTAGTCTTTTGAGTCATAAAGCAATAGTCCAGTTAGATTCATTAAAATTAGTTTCTGAAATCTAAGGTATATAAAAGCTATTGATGATTTCAAATATCCCAGATAAATGCAAAATAATCTTTATAATTTCATCTTCCTCTCAATGTTTTTGTTTGCATTTGGAAACACACAATTCAGTGATATTGGTGATGTCAGAGACGGAAGCAGTGGAGTATTTTGTCTTTCCTTTGGAAGGGGCATTGCTGAACTTTACAAGATCAGCATTTGTTTTTTTTTCCCCTCTGCATATTTTATTGGCTTTTGTTCAAGTTTTAAAGGCAAAAACTGAGAGAAAAATTGTGATAAGCTAGTATTCAGGATCTCAATTGCAAAATTACAAAATTTGTAGTCTCAGCAGCAGATGTTATATTTTCTGTATTCTCACTTGAAAAACTGTATGTTTTAAAGACCCCCACAATCCCCCCTGAGATTTACCCACTACCTGTCAATGGTAGAATACCGTCATGAACTCCCGCCTTCAGTTTTGAGCAACCTGCATTTGGAGTAATTAACAAGGCATCTGATACAGCTCAACCTCAGGAAAGATTTAGTAAGAATTTTGTCAGAGGCATTTGGTGGGTATCAGCAAACAAAGTCTAAAGCTTAAGAAGTCTTAAATAGTGAAAGGTACTTTTCTGGGTGCTCAGCCAGTGACTTTTGTTTTCATCCCTTTAGCTGTTAGCTGCCTTAAAGGAAGAAATCTCTCTTTGCTGAAGTATTTTGACACTCTGCTAAACTCAAGTACTGCAGCTGGACACCTTCCAAATTCAGCCATAACTCTGGAAGCAATCAAATGTGCATTGTCTGAAAAGCAATTAAATCTAGTAACACGTTGGGTTAAACAGCAAAGGTATGTGGTTCTTCCGCACTGAGATTCACGGAGGGGTATGCCATCCTCCGTTACTTCCCAAGTCATGAGGCTTTGCCTTTTCTTCAAAGTAAATCCTTTCAAACAAAATGCAACGAAAAATACATTAATGGATGTCTTTTTTTATTCTTTTGTTAAATCCTAAATTCAATATGAGCGTAGACCAACCAAGCAATATCAACAGCTCCTTCTGAAGGATGCATTTCGGTTTGGTTTCTGTCAGCCTTTCTTACAACATTGCAGACTCCAGTTTTATTTGTGACTCTTTTCTCTTACACTGTACTTAATACAGATATAAGATTTTCACAGCCTTCTGTGGATTAAAAAAACGTTATTACTAGGATATTAATTTCTTTCATTTTATTCTTGTTGTCAGTACCAAATCCACAGTTTCAAACACAATTATGCAAAAAACGTGCGTAAACTGTGAACCCTATACCTGCACTTGACCTCTATTTTTCCATGTTTGGGGATAGGATACAATCATATTTAAATTTCTAGAAATGCGTCTGTTGCTGCATTTTTGATTTGGAGAAGATATAAAACTGTCAGAAATGTTTTCCTAATCCAGTGTAGATTTGTTTGAAATGGTGAAAATCCTACTGGAACAGTCTGGTATTAAATTAATTGTAACGGGTACCTCTCTGCTGAAAGACTCCTGTGAAGAGCAACAGCATTCTTTAATGCTAGCCCATATTTTAGTTTTAAATTGAGATTCTAAACCACCTTGTGTCAGGATCAAAATACCACTTCTTTGTTTCAGTCCTAACCCATAACATAACCTACTAATGCAAAAAACCTGTTACAGCTTGCTCTTTTGAGATGCTGAAATCATCATTGTTCTCACAGTAATAAGACCTAGCTAGTTACGTCATCACACTGAAACAGTGTTTCTTAAGCCGTGCTTTATGACCACTTTGGGAATCATAAAACATTACTAAATGCAATGTTAGTAGACAACAGCTTAGTTCCTCTAGAGTGGAAGAGTGAAAAGCAGCTGTAATTTCTAGTGTCAAGCATTACAGATGTTTACAGTAGTCGGGGATCTGCAAATTGCTTTTAAGTGTTTGCTGGAGAAGCCTGTTGAGAAACACTCTTACTGAAACATAATGATGCCTTGTTTATTTAGGTACATAGGAGCTTTACCTCCTATTCTAAAACTATAAAGTTCTGCACTGATCTTAAAACAGTGTTTTTGCAAATACTATAAATAAATAAATCCTAAACCACTTAGATTGTAGGCAAAACTGGTAGCAACACCTGTAGCAGACAGGTTACGTAACACTTGGCAGTATAAATCCCTGTAATTGCCACGCTGTTTTGCTGCACTATGTTACATAATAATTGCCACACTATTGTGCCACTGTAAGTGTGGCAAAACTTTGTCCACTTCCCATTCCTGTGTCCTTAGGTAGAATTTCTTAGGAAAGCATTAAAGCCAGCTGAGCTACTTCTGAGAGCCATTCTACAAAATAGCTTGGTTTTGTTAATGAGAAAATTTCTTCCACTCTTCCTTTGAATCTTCTTTGGAGAAAATGTGAAGTTGGATAGCAAGCTAAATGGCTCAGGGTGTTGCTGTTTTCTGTTCTTCTAATAATCCCTGGAAATCTGACTAGACTTCTAAAACTCACTGGTTTTGACATGTTCCTCTGAGTTTATTGTGAGACGGACAACAAAAATTACAAATACCACCAGTACTGAGTAGACCTGCTTTCACAGGCTGTGCTGTGGAATGCACAGCAACGGCCGCTCTGCTCCATTGTAGCTTGGGAACAGCACAAGCATTTCCTTATTCCTGAAACCAGCCTTGAATCTCCCATGTCCAGGAACGCTGTAAGGCTGCAGTTGTTCCTCCCAACTGCCAGGGACTGGAATTGCGGTAGTCCCTGAAAGAAATGTCTCATCGTTTCCTGTTGCTTTCAGTGCTGTCAGAGCCCTCTCTGCCGCAGCTGGGAGATCAAAGAAAAGAAGGAAGAGGCCACTTTCTCAAATATAGAGAATTAAGGCTGCAAGAGGGGCAGAAATGCTGAAAGGGGCATAGTTTAATACTTACACATGCAGAAATATGCCCATCTACCCAATCCACTTGTTGTAGCTTGTTTTGAAATATTCCAAAGTTACGGAACGTGTCAGTAACACTGGTTTGTTTTATTACCTTGTCTTCTTCAGGTTAACCTTTTCTGAGGCGTAGGAGATACTATTTATGACTACGGGAAAGTGGAACCAAGCAACGAGTCAAAATGCCTGGCTTTGGCCCGGGTCGCGTATGGTCAGTCTGGCACACACATGTTGTAGCTTGTTTTGAAATATTCCAAAGTTACGGAACGTGTCAGTAACACTGGTTTGTTTTATTACCTTGTCTTCTTCAGGTTAACCTTTTCTGAGGCGTAGGAGATACTATTTATGACTACGGGAAAGTGGAACCAAGCAACGAGTCAAAATGCCTGGCTTTGGCCCGGGTCGCGTATGGTCAGTCTGGCACACACAAAGAAGTTGCTCTGTGCCTATGTAAACGGGGACGAATTTCTGGAGCAATGGATTATATTCAGCAACTGGAGCGTTTCTCTGTAGGTAAATAATAAGGCTCTTGTATTGTCTTTCATGATTGTTCTACAATATATCTATCTCAGGTTTAACGGTGATGTTTTGGACCACATTTTTGTAGAAAGCATTTGAAGTGAATACAAATATCCAAACTTTTGTCATTGTGTTTACCAAGATGTCAAGAGCTCTGTTAAAATGTCCTTATGTATTTTATCATAATAGCAATACATGCATGCTCTGATGAAGTAAGGAATTACTTTTTGTACACCCGCTAGAAAATCTCCACAGTGTTTTGGCAAGGACCCCAGTAGGAGGCTGTGGGGGTTCTCGGAGCCTGCAGTTCTAAACCCAAGGTTGTCCCTCTCTGGTGGATCGTGAGTTCATTAATCAAATGAAAGGAAAGAAGGGTGCCCTGTGTTCTTTCTTAGGTTCCTTTCTACTTAACTGCCTTCTGGCAGTGTAATTTTTTTTCTTCTGTATGTATTCTTGCTTAGACTGTTGTTGCTCAGTTAAGTTACAGTTTTTCATTCTTATTTTATTTTCTGGCCATATTTCAGGTAATTTTAAGGGAGGATTTTCAGGTTATCGTCTCTTCTAGGGTTTGTTGATTTTCTCATTCTATGAGATTTCTAAAATAATTACAGGAAAAAATATTCTTTATATCCAAGTAAAAGAAGGTTAGATTTCAATGTCACCACTAGCTTTTCCACAGTGTTCAAGGAAATCAGTCAAGATCATTGTGGGGTTTTATGGTGAGGAAAGGGAGAGGTAACCGTATGCAAATACGTCACAATCTTGGTATTTGATTTTTCAGATGATTACTTCTTTCTGTTGGAAAGCTGTCCTAGCACTGCATGAATTTGCTGTCTCAGTCAACAGTGGATTAGAAAACCCCGTTTCCATCTATGGGGGCTACAATCCTGTCTTTTGTCTCAGCCGATCACAAAAGGCATGGTTTTGAGCTACTGGAGGAAATGAGCAAGAAAAGTAAGCGCAGCAAAATTTTAATAACAAACTTTCACACTTTAAATTTTAATTCAGCTCCCATTTCAGCCTGTAAATTACTTTGGATTCAGTGCTCCTAGTTTATAACGTCATCTGAATAAAAGCTTTTCCCTCATGGTGAGCTGAACTGTGCATTCTCGCATCTTCCAGAGCTCCCACAGGGATGAGGGTCACTCTGTCAGATTTGAGGGGCTGTTGTGCTTGCACTCTGTCGTGGTTTAACCTCAGTCGGCAACTAAGCCCCACACAGCCGCTTGCTCACTCCCCCCCACCCGGTGGGATGGGGGAGAGAATGGGAAGAGCACAAGTGAGAAAAACTTGTGGGTTGAGATAAAAACAGTTTAATAATTGAAATAAAATGATAATAATAATAATATGATAATAATAATAATAATACACAAAGCAAGTGATGCACAGTACAATTGCTCCCCACCCGGCCAGCTTTCCCCAGTTTATGTACTGAGCATGACGGCACATGGTATGGAATGTCCCTTTGCCCAGTTTGGCTGTGCCCCCTCCCAGCTTCTTGTGCACCTCCAGCCTTCTCAGTCAGCAGAGCATGGAAAACTAAAAAGTCTTGGCTAGTGTAAGCATTACCTAGCAACAACTAAAACATCGGTGCGTTATCAACTTTGTTCTCATCCTAAATCCAAAACACATCATTGTACCAGCTACTAGGAAGGAAATTAACTCTATCCCTGCCAAAACCAGGACACACTCGCATGCAGGGTCAGTCTGTGCGGTTGCACAGGGCATCCCTTGGGGCAATTCTGCCACTGAAATAACTCTGCAGGCACTCTGCTTGCTTCTAGCAGAGCCTCTGTAGGCCGGCCTTTGGGCAGCCTGCAACTTCAGCACTTACTACTTAGGACGCAAAAAAATAAACAAAGTCCTACTTTGCTGTAAGGTTTGTAAGTTTTCAGAGGGACTTTTTACGCTGCCAGACACAGGGGCAGAAGCTCTTCAGGCAGCATGAACTCAAGCCAGGGGCAGACAGCTGCAACAAACCAAATGGGAAGCAAGTGCCAGGTCCTGAAACTACTCTGCAGACAAACTAATACTTATCTGCCTGGACTTAGCCAGGAAAAGTGCTTAAATTTAAAGATAATATTTCTGAAAATTAGGTTTTCTGCATCTAGGGGTGGTTATTTGTATCTGTTGTGCTTATTGTGTCTTGCTCCAATAAACTGACCTTAACTTCAGTGCCTGCAACTCTCCTGGCGTTCTATTGCCCTTATGGCTTTCAGAAGTGATTTTGAGTGCAATCGGGGATTTTGACCTTTAAGCTTTTTCAATTAAAGTAATCACTGTTTTTCTTATGGGTCTTTAATTTGATCAGCTTGCTTTTTTTTTTTAACTCAGTCATAGGATTTATAATCCATCTATAAAAACAGTGAATGATTTGTGCAATATGCTTAATATGAATAGTACAAAGCTTATTAGGGCAAATGCAGGATCTGTAAACGTGGTTGTTTTTTCTTAGATGCGTTGGAACAGGTTATTCTAAATGATACTGTCTGTACTTTGGAAGACTGGAGTAAGATAGCAGTTGTTTGTGCAGAAAATAAGCATGAGAAGTTATCTCAGGAAATCGTGTCGATTCTCACCTCACAGGATGGAGTGTTTGAAAATTCGCCACTTGAAGGTGAAAAAGATGCAAGGATAAAGAATGGAACACCTTTTCTGGTAGTTTTTCTATGTAACGACAGAGGGAGCTCTTACAGCAGTCAAGCGAAGAAGCCTTCTAGCTCTTTGTATGAACCGTAGTAAACACTAGGCATGCGGAAACAGTGCCGAGAGTTATTTTACCATCAAATATCAGTTATTTGTCCCTTTTAATATGTCTGTGTGAGCATGTGTGCATGTTTGTATTTTGTTTAACCGGAAATGTATTCTCAGTGTAGAAGAAAGTTGGCATATTGTACTCTGGAATGGTATGGTATGGTAATGGCGTGCATATACTTTCCGTCCCGTTCTCAGCTTCAGTACATCGTGCCTGTCCTTTAGTATAGTGCTGGAGGGAGATACTGCACAGGGTTTAGAATCAGCGTGGGTAAGGGAAACGGCTCCGAGTGGATCATCATTCTGAGAGAGCTGGACAAAGGGCATTGCACAGTGTAGACATACACTGATACCTTGGTCTTTCTGTTTTTTTCCCGACAGGCCAGAAGGCTTGCATCACTAGAGTCATAGCACAAGTCATAGTATCAAGATAATCTAACAAATCCTGCCAAAACACAACAAATGTCTACTTAGAACAAATTTAGGCTTCAGTTACATGCATCCACCTGCTGCTTGGGTTGCTGTGGGAATTGTGTGATTTGAGGACCATATTACACTGTAAGAGCCAGTACAGGAACTTAGCTTAGGCTGATTATTAAGAGATGGGTAGTTCAGTCTTAGGGGAAGGAAGACGTCCAACTGCAGTCCTACGCCAGCAGATTCACTGAGTGCATGTTGGCAGAGCCTCTCTTTAGCTCTCAGCCCACAACCAGTATAAACGGGAAGAATACTGGATGTCATTTACTGTTGTCACTGTGCTGCATGTTCTCAAATAAACAGACATCCCTATAATTAAGCTAGATATAACTACTGCTGTTTTGTTTCAGCTTTAATACATTTTGGCACTTTTTAAAAGCTGCTGGGCCATATTTATTATACGGATAAATCTGCAGAGTCAGGATTCACGAGAGAACTTTCTTTAAAAGAGAAGAATTACAAGTCTACAGATATTGTAAGTATTGTGTGGATGAGGAACAGGGATAGGTATGCAAGTTCAGTTTTCAACATGTAGAATAATACGTCCTGTAAATATAACCCTTAAGTTAAATATATAAATGTAGAGGTATTTTCTGAAATAAATTAGTGTTAAATGTTTTTCCTAGTAATGCCTGTCACTTAGTAGTGTTTCTCCAAATGCTTGTGAATTATTATTGCTCTGAAGAGCTTGCAATTTATGCAAGTTTCTTAGGGATACACTCTTTGTAACGAGCATTAGAACCTCTACCTCAAGAGTGGTTCAAATCTGTCAAAGACTGGACAGTTTAGTAGCGCTTGAAGTGTGTTCAGTGCTGTAGAAAAAGGTAAGTTCTCTGACCCTGTGAAGTAGGGCCTTGCCAGGATGCTTTTGCAGTTGTCTTAGCTGATCACATCTTTTCCTAGGTCAGATTTTTTTTTAATCTGATGTAGCATTTTCTGTACTCCATCTGCTATGCTGAGAAGGAATTTCTAGCATTTTTAAAAGTCAAAGCGCCATTGATATAATCCTATTTGCAGGAGAGGGGGGAGAAAGAGGTGACACTGTCAAAAGATTGTGAGAACAGAGATATAAAACATTTATTAAAGCCTCAGTTTAAGGAACATATTCAGGAATAAATGACTTAGGTGATGTCTACTTTAGGTATCATTGCAGCTGAATTTTGACTAATGTTCAAGTACATTTTCCCAGAATTACTGAGGGTGAACTACAAATTAAGAATGTAGTTTTCCCTTTTAGTGCTTTTTGGTATTCATGTTATTGAAATTAATGTAGTCCTGCCATTATGAATGTACATGCTGATGCAGATACTCCAAGAGCAGTCAGGTGAAAAAGTCAACGCTGGTGGCTTCTGTGGGATTTCTGAACACAGCACGTCTACAGAATAGAGCTCTGAGCAAGTGCTTATGATTGGAAAAAAAAAAGTATTGCATGCTGTTTGCAAATACAGGCTAGGATACTTTGGAGACTGCTTGGGTTTATAAGAAATGCAGGGAGCGTGAAATGTTTATTTTCCAGATTGAGATTGTTTTAGCTGTCCAGACTGTTATTTCTGTAACAGAACTAGAGCATTCATTACTGACACCTGATCTTTTCCTTGACGCAGCTTGACACCACCCGAGTGACCGCAGACTTCTGCACTTTTTGATTATGAAATGCGGAGCAGTTGAATTCCATAGGAGAGCCTTTTCCAGAGTCTGGTATCGTCACATGATGAATGCAGAGGTCAATAGCCATTTCTCTTCCCACTTATATGATTTAATTTAGTTATGAAGTTCTAGAATTTTACTTATGACCAACTTGCATTGTAAAGTTCAAACTTTTTAAGTATAATTAAATACCAGGCATAAGCAAGGGATCAGAAAGAATGGCCAAATATATTTTGTATGCTGGGAAAAGAAAGCCGGTGTAAACCCTCAGAGGTAATAATACACCTTCATGGAAAACATGGACAGTCCATGCTAGATGAAAATTGATTTGTTATTATACATTGCTATGCCTACTGAAACTTCAGGTTCCATTTTCTCATTTCATTTTATGCTGGTGGATGTATATTAATTTAAATGGTGCTATTTCTTACATATGTAATGAGTGACAAAAGATCATTATCTGATTAGTTGTCACACTGATTATAATATGAGATGGGGTAAGTGTTTGACTTCAGATACACTGTATATATTGTAACTCGATTTACAGTGTAACATACATCGGATTTTGACCAAAAGGATGAAAACAATGAATGAAAAGATCACTGATGTTGTTACTGCACAAAAGCTGACATCATACAAGAAAGCAGTGTAGATGTAACTGCGATACTCCCCAGAGTGATTTCATGGTTCTTGTTTAATATTTGCAGCAGCTGAAAAATGAAGGTGCTTGTTAAATTGAACAAGACAGTGATGGGCTAAACCACAAAGTTTTATTATTTTTCTTTATAGCCATTTTTACTGTGCAGAAGTGATTTCTAGCAAGGATACGCTATCAAATGGCAGGCCTGAGGTACGTGCTTCTTTAGTTGGCCTATTTACTTGCTAGCCGTTTTGTATTAAGCGTTCTCTGGAAGTTTTAGAAATCATGCTACATAAGAAAAAAAGTGCAAGTGCAGCGTCAAATATATACTCTCTAGAGCAAACACAACTGTTACTGGGGAGGACTGGACTAGTGTTGCCTTGTATGCCTTATTTTCCTTCAGAAGAACCTGGTGTCTCCCCATCCAAGAATCAGTTGCTAATTATCTGTTGGGATTTAAAGCGATTTAGACCTGTGTGTTTTATTCAGCAACCTCAAGAGTTTTCAGTCACTTCATCTTGAAAAAAATAAGAACTGTCTTAAAAATTCTGTTTAGCAAGGTGACAATATACTTTTACCCAAAGTGTCTGTAAAAGCCAAGTAGTATTTTAGTAATATTGAAACACCCAAAGTCACTTATAAAGAAGAGATGGAATTTCAAAAAGCTAGAGACATCTGTAAATGCCTAAGCAAATTTAAAAATCCATTCCTTACAAAACTTTGTCCCCAATCTCAGACGTTTATTTCGAAGAAGAATTACGCAGTTTCACAGACGGAGAGGTAGGAGAGCTGTCTTGCCACCTCGCTGGTAAGAGAGCTTCTGAAACATTTTTGATACTGGCAGTACTCACATTTCTTTTTTCTCTTATTTATTAATAAAACTCAGAATTTATCGTTTTCCCAGTGTTTGACAGACTTTATTTGGATAAAACAGTCTGGTCAAAATATAATAAAGTGGTTGTGAGTTTCAAAAATACTTCCAAGAATGAACAAAATTTACAGGTACACAGCATCACGGTCCTATGCAATTTATTATTGCCAAGCTCTAACTAGCTGACTTAATTCCTATCTCTACTTGACTGGTGTGCTGCACTCACCTCCTTCAAATGCAAACTTCACAAAGGTCAGCCACAGATTTATACCTTGATTTAATGAAGAAATTAGGCTCTTACAAGATAGGTGCTGAATTGGAGATTAAAGATACTGGAATGAGAGGAAATGTTGTGAGGTTAGTTACGTAGCCTAGTGCCCAGGACACTTACGTGAAGGAGGAAATTGTGAGCTGTGCTTCCTGCTTCGTGGAATTCTTCTGTCTTAGAATTAATTCGTTATTCATCTTCTGTCTTTAAATTAACTCATTATTCACTGGAAAAAGTACAAAGCCCATCCACGATCCACTTCCCAGGTGAGTGCCCTTACCACATATAAGATGGTTTTGCTCTACCCTCCGCTAAGAAATTTCATTAGACCTTAAAGAAGTGATAATACTATTTTTATTGCATTCTTGTCTTTGTGAGATTGTTGGGTTTTTTTTCCGTTACTCTGGCAAGTTTTATGGAGAGAAGGAGATGGCTGTAACTTAGATAGCTTTCTGCATGCCTTAATCACAAGACTGTTACGTGATGTGAGAGTTAGGTTTTCTGAAGTTACCAAAAGCAAAATAAAATTTTGTGATACAGCTTTCACCAAATGCAAATCACAGGTAGAGGATTATCAGTATAAAAGAGTTTGTATTGATAAACAGATAAACCCTTATCAATATCTTTATATTGATAAGAGTCCATCAGTGGTATTTATTAGGACCTTTTAAGGAAAATTAAAATACTCAATTTTTATTTTTTATTTTTTTATGTTGTTTCTTCAGGCTCTTCCCATTATTTCACTTTTTTCCTTCTAGCTTTCTTGTATCCCCACGGGCCAATTAGCCTCATACTTTAAAGTACAGACTGGTAGGGAGAAATCTTTCACTGGTGGAAGATTAATGATCTTAGCGTGGTGACCTAATACGGTAAATAGAACACTATTTCCATCCGTCTGTAATCCCACTGAAATCCATGAGTCACACTAAGGATGTTTGGCCTTACGCCTTTTCCTTCACTAAATTTTATGACTCTGTGAGCCTCCCTTCTGTTTTTGAAAGCTGTATATACAGTCACCTGATTTGCATCATTGCTGAAGCCATTAGTCAGAAAGAGCTACTGAAGAGGCAGCACTGGGTGTA